ACGCTACCCCCCCCCCGGTCCCTTTGTAACTGGGAAACTGATAGAATTGGATCATAAGATCGTGGTGTTTATTGAACTCCAGCATACAGTAGGGGATTGGGATGTTTATTGAACTTCGGCTTTCAACTGATTTACCTTACCCCTAGATTCCACCGGGTCCGTCTGCGGCGCGTTACGGGCGCGTTACGGGCGCGTTACGGCTGCGCCGCGGTGCTCAAGGTGATCGCGGCCACTCTAGTCAATGGGTGCTATTCCACCACACGCGGCGCGTTACGGCTCAGAAGCGTCCCAGAAGCGTCCCAGAAGCGGCCCAGAAGCGGCCCAGAAGCGGCCCAGAAGCGTCCCAGAAGCGTCCCAGAAGCGGCCCAGAAGCGGCCCAGAAGCGGCTCGGCGCAGGGCTTTTCTAAAATTAGGATCGAATCCTATTTTTGTCGCGGCGCAGCCGTAACGTAAGGTCGGGTAGGCAGGAAGTGGAACGTTCAGAGCTATATAGACCTATATATATACACACACACAAACTAATTTTGCAGACCCTATCCCTCCGTAGTCTTTCAAGTAGGAGGAGAAATGCCAGCGTTCTCCTCCGGTTTACAGGCACTGTGTAAATTATATATATAGAATAATTATGATGATGAATGCATTGTTTTACCACTAAAATACAGCAACACATCTTTGATTCATGTAGTTTATAACTGGAATATTACAGTTATTATTAACTCTGTCTGTACAAAGTAGCCTGTCCAGGAAATATGCCCAAATCAACAAAAACTGCGAGCCGGCAGGCAAGACGCTCCGCTTCTGAAATGCTTCTGAAACGCGCCTGGTAGGGTATGACGCCGGAGGAGGCCGGACCAAAACCGCGGCGCAGCCGTAACGCGGCGCAGACGGACCCGGTGGAATCTAGGGGTTACACCGCTCACTGCTGCTGCTTGCCTCTGTTCTTCGCACCTGCCTGTAATCTGAGAAGGTCCCGCCTCTCTGGCTGCAGCCCGGAAAATCTTCAGTGTTGATTGACACTTCAGTAATAGCCTATCAGATAGCGCTGTGGGCGGGACATTGCTCGTGAACAGTGGTGACTGCAGCCGGAGAAACGGCCGCATCAGAGCCAAAGCCGATAATCTGTCAAATGCGGAATATCGGCCTCGATAATCGGTCAACCCCTAGTGTGTGTGTGTGTGTGTGTGTGTGTGTGTGTGTGTGTGTGTGTGTGTGTGTGTGTGTGTGTGTGTGTGTGTGTGTGTGTGTGTGTGTGTGTGTGTGTGTGTGTGTGTGTGTGTGTGTGTGTGTGTTAGGGATCGGCCGATATGGCTTTTTAAAGGCCGATACCGATGATTAGTAATCAAGGAGACCGATAACCGATATTTGGAACTGATATACATTTGCAGTAAAATCAGAAAATCAAAATGTAGAATAACAGAACTTCTTTGAAATGCCTTTTTATGTTTAATGAACTTAACATCTTCAAACTGGTTTCCTCTCTGTGACCCTGAGTAAAGTAAATTAAGTAAAAATAAAATAAAAACGACTAAAACTTGTTCTGAACGTCTGATATTTGAGTCTCACTCATGTAGTGGTCCCAGTTCAGCAGGTTGTGGGTCCCAGTTCAGAAGGTTGTGGTCCCAGTTCAGCAGGTTGTGGTCCCAGTTCAGCAGGTTGTGGTCCCAGTTCAGCAGGTTGTGGTCCCAGTTCAGCAGATTGTGGTCCCAGTTCAGCAGGTTGTGGTGCAGAGAGCAGAGCTGCTGCGAGGCTCCACCAGCAGCCGTCACAGTCGTCCCAGCGCGTCACAGTTTCTCCGCTGCGAGACGCTACCCCCCCCCCCCGGTCCCTTTGTAACTGGGAAACTGATAGAATTGGATCATAAGATCGTGGTGTTTATTGAACTCCAGCATACAGTAGGGGATTGGGATGTTTATTGAACTTCGGCTTTCAACTGATTTACCTTACCCCTAGATTCCACCGGGTCCGTCTGCGGCGCGTTACGGGCGCGTTACGGCTGCGCCGCGGTGCTCAAGGTGATCGCGGCCACTCTAGTCAATGGGTGCTATTCCACCACACGCGGCGCGTTACGGCTCAGAAGCGTCCCAGAAGCGTCCCAGAAGCGGCCCAGAAGCGGCCCAGAAGCGTCCCAGAAGCGGCCCAGAAGCGTCCCAGAAGCGGCCCAGAAGCGGCTCGGCGCAGGGCTTTCCTAAAATTAGGATCGAATCCTATTTTTGTCGCGGCGCAGCCCTAACGTAAGGTCGGGTAGGCAGGAAGTGGAACGTTCAGAGCTATATAGACCTATATATATACACACACACAAACTAATTTTGCAGACCCTATCCCTCCGTAGTCTTTCAAGTAGGAGGAGAAATGCCAGCGTTCTCCTCCGGTTTACAGGCACTGTGTAAATTATATATATAGAATAATTATGATGATGAATGCATTGTTTTACCACTAAAATACAGCAACACATCTTTGATTCATGTAGTTTATAACTGGAATATTACAGTTATTATTAACTCTGTCTGTACAAAGTAGCCTGTCCAGGAAATATGCCCAAATCAACAAAAACTGCGAGCCGGCAGGCAAGACGCTCCGCTTCTGAAATGCTTCTGAAACGCGCCTGGTAGGGTATGACGCCGGAGGAGGCCGGACCAAAACCGCGGCGCAGCCGTAACGCGGCGCAGACGGACCCGGTGGAATCTAGGGGTTACACCGCTCACTGCTGCTGCTTGCCTCTGTTCTTCGCACCTGCCTGTAATCTGAGAAGGTCCCGCCTCTCTGGCTGCAGCCCGGAAAATCTTCAGTGTTGATTGACACTTCAGTAATAGCCTATCAGATAGCGCTGTGGGCGGGACATTGCTCGTGAACAGTGGTGACTGCAGCCGGAGAAACGGCCGCATCAGAGCCAAAGCCGATAATCTGTCAAATGCGGAATATCGGCCTCGATAATCGGTCGACCCCTAGTGTGTGTGTGTGTGTTTATGTGTGTGTGCGTGTGTGTGTGTGTGTGCGTGTGTGTGTGTGTGTGTGTGTGTGTGTGTGTGTGTGTGTGTGTGTGTGTGTGTGTGTGTGTGTGTGTGTGTGTGTGTGTGTGTGTGTGTGTGTGTGTGTGTGTGTGTGTGTGTACCTGAGGTAAACTCCCGTCCTCCACCACTGTGTTGAACTCTTGGTTCATGATGTCGGACAGGAAGTCTTCAACTTCTCCGCGCTGCAGGTCGGCTGCTCAGGAAACATTTATATTTTATGTGCAGTTATTTAACATGCCGAGAATACGCCGTTAAATATTAACTTGTTGACAGTTTTGATAAATAAATGTTACCATGGTTACTTACCGTTGTCATGGAAAAACTGCTGCACCACATCCACCATCCAATCAGCTTTCTGCGTCCCGTACACGCCTCCAAACCCATTATCCACCGCGATCTGCGCTCGCACACACACACACACACACACACACACACACACACACACACACAAACACACACACAATAATATATCCAGTAGCAGTACTCTACCCTCTTGCACCTCATTTAGCTGTTCTTCTTGTTATGTGTTGCCTTTGCTTGTAAAGCGGATGGAGCACCATACCAAGTATTATTGTTATTAAGAAAGACCGGAATGGCCTTATAAGGGTTCCGGTGAAGAGCTTGTTGTTTAAAGAGCTAACAGCCCGATGCTAACAGGCTAGCTGTTAGACCCGCAGCGAGACTTTCTGTCTGTCTACCTGTCTGTCTGTCTGCTCGGGTTTTATCTACCTGTCTGTCTGCTCGGGTTTTATCTACCTGTAGAACCGGCCAGCTGAGCAGCACCTCTCTCACCGCCTCAGAGAACAGAACACGTGATGCTGCGGGGGTCGCCATGTTGGATCACTCAGACAGAAGCAGTCGATCACACAGTAAACACAGGCAGAAGCAGTCGATCACACAGTAAACACAGGCAGAAGCAGTCAATCACATAGTAAACTCAGGCAGAAGCAGCAGAGTGAAGAGACAACATGTCCCGATGGCCAACAGTGTGTGATTTAGGCCCAATCCCAAACCGCCCCCTACACCCTAGTACCCACTACCCCTCCGTTCGCGCGGAGGGTCCGCCACATTAAGGTCTGTTCCAAACCAACGAGTGTGGAGCGGTGTGGAGGGGGAGTGGGCTATCAAGCCCTCAAACAGCGAGTCTGCAGCGGTGCTGACTGGAGACCGGTCTCTACCTGACCGGAGTCACGCTGTGTGTCCGTCAGGAAACACGCTTCCAGCAAACATCCACTGATAAACTGCGATGTTAACAACCTCATGATAACCTCATATGTTTTTAAGTTAGGATCGTACCTGTGTTTAGTCTAGAAAAAGGTCAATGTGTGCATTTTATTATAAAGTTGTGCATATATACAGACTGTTGCAAAAACTAAGAAGCTTATAAACATCAGGTTTAAAACTAAAAGAGCTTTACAAAAAAGTAACACAATGAAAGATGTTTGGAGTTTTATTTGAGTTATTAAAGGTGGGGTAGGTAAGTTTGAGAAACCGGCTCGAGATCGCTAGAATTTGAAAATACACAGCCGGAGAAAATCTGCCACTTCCTCACAGAGCCCCTCCTCCAACACACACGAACGCGCACATGACCAATGAGGGCACGAGATAAGTTTGTGCACAGATGGAAGGCTGACAGGCAGGTAGGCCATCCAGTTATTTTAGCCGGCTCAGATGATTGGTCGTGCTTTTCACAGTACCACAGCTTCCACAGATGATATTTATTTATGGATTTTTTGTCAAAGCACTTCAGATATTCATTGCTATCTGGATGTTAAGAGCATTCCATGGAATATAACAACAAGTGTATCTCGAGCCGGTTTCTCAAACTTACCTACCCTACCTTTAACTTACATTTTTTGTCTAAGAGATGCTGATTTGAAACCGTTGTTACATACAGTTACGGCATTTCCTGTTTCTGCCGGAGAGGGGAGTTTGTCCCAAAGCTTGCGGCTGTATTTACTCCCTCCATCTGACAGGAGGAGCCTCGTTCAGCTGAGAGTGTGGCTACAGATGGAGTTCACTCCGTCACGGAGGGGTAGGGTCGAGGGAGTGGTTTGGGATTGGGCCTCAAGGTCCAAAGATCAAAGGTGTTCTCATCAGATGCTCAGCAGCTTCAGTGTAGAAATGGCAATGAAATTCTTCTGACCTGAGCTCCTCCAACAATGCAACATATATCATAAAATACAAAATAGTTCAAGAAGTCTATATACATGTAAATAGAATACGATATGTACAAGAAGAGAATGTAAAATTAAATAATGTACATTAAGATGAAATTAAATACGGTTTATTACGGTGAAAACTTTATATTAATAATATGCAAACAGGAATGTTTATGGATGTTCTTCACAGAGTTCAGGTGTTTAATAGTCTTATTGTGAGATGAAACTGACTGAGTCTGGTGGTTTAGTCCTGATGCCAGACGGGGGGTGATCTGTCTCCAAGTCTGGTGGTTTAGTCCTGATGCCAGACAGGGGGTGATCTGTCTCTAATGGCGCTTTTCCACTGCAGGGCCTCGCACGGCTTAGTACGGTATAGTTAGGCCTTGGTAGGCCAGGCTCACTTTATGCTGCGTTTCCATTACAGTTTAGTAGCTGGGGCAGTAACTATAGTAACGCAGTGTAGGCGGAGCCGTGACGTCATCTTCAATGAGAACCACAGAACCAACATCAGCCGTTAGCTGTTAGCACTCAGAGCTCACAGCTCCTCATATCTGTTCAGAAACTAGACAGAAGTGAAACAAGTACAAACCACAGACTGCCTGTGTCATGGTGAATACAGTCGCTGCTTTATTTATGTCTGTATAGGCCGTTGTTGTGAGTGTGGACGGTCGGAGCATATACTGCGTTAGCTTAGCCAATCTCCATTCAGAAAACACGCATTTTAAAAGGTGTTTCGCCTGCCGTCTGTCTGCAGACTTGCCAAAGCATTAATTCATGGTTTTTACTAACCGGTATCAGTATGTTGTTACTTCATCATTTTGAAACGTGTATTACAATTAAATCACGGTCAAATATGTTCATCTTGTTGTAGTTGTAGCCACTCACGTCACTAGTTTAGCATACTCAGCCCGGTTGTTGGCCCGGGTCTGTCTCCGAGTCTGGTGGTTTAGTCCTGATGCCAGACGGGGGGGTGATCTGAGTCTGGTGGTTTAGTCCTGATGCCAGACAGGGGGTGATCTGTCTCCGTGTCTGGTGGTTTAGACCTGATGCCAGACGGGGGGTGATCTGTCTCTAAGTCTGGTGGTTTAGACCTGATGCCAGACAGGGGGTGATCTGTCTCTGAGTCTGGTGTCCCTAGCAGCACAGTTTTGAACGTACTGGAGCCTGTCCAGGGTTTTGTTGGGGACCCCAAACAGGACACCATTGCAGTAGTCCAAGCGGGAGGTGACGAAAGCATGGACTAGGGTTTCTGCAACCGACTCCGAGAGTGACGGTCGGAGTCGTTCTTTAGATGGAAAAAGGCGGATTTGGTGACAGACTTGATGTGGGAGTGGAAGGAAAGGGTGGAGTCAAAGATGACACCCAGGTTGCGGACTTCAGGAGATGGGGAGATGGAGCAGCCGTCAACCTCAAGGATGAAGTCACCAACCTTCTGGAGCAGCGCCTTGGGGGCCACAGCCATGAGCTCTGTTTTCCTGCTGTTTGAGGTTGTTGGAGGACATCCAGGTTTTGATGTCGTGCAGGCAGTTGATGAGAGACTGAGGGGGGAGCTGGGAGGATGGAGTAGTGCTGAGATAGATTTGGGTATCATCAGCGTAGCAGTGGAAGTTGAGTCCATGATGGCAGATGATCTGACCGAGGGGGAGCATGTCAATGGTGAACATTTATTATTATTATTACTCGGTACAAAGATCTGTTCCTGCTCTCATTGGGTCCATGGTGGCTCTCTAACAGCTGCTTTCCCTGCAGGTGGAGACCACACCATTGCATACCCCATCCTGCAGGCGGTGGCTGAGAAGTAAGTCTGTCCAAATGAAAACAAAGATTTTCAGTTTTCAAAGGTTTTTAAAGATCAAGAGAAGCAGTGACGCCTCAGATTCAAGAAGCTGGAACCAATGGATATGTTTGCAGGTTTAGTGAATGATCAACAGATTCATCTCCTGTTTCTGTTTCAGTTTATTACTGGAGATCTTTTATTGCTATTCATCAATGCGCTGTTGCTCAACAAAATGCACGCTGTAATCTGTAATGCTTCAAACGTACAAAACATATTTACTTCATGAGCGAGTACAGAGTCCGACACACTGAGAGATATGGCTGCAACATCTTTATAGACCAAGCTGGTTGGTGGGTCTGTAAACTGAGAAAGAGCCTAAGAAGACCTCTTCAAAGATATTTAGCTTACTGTCACAGAGGGTTAGGAAATACATTTAAGAAGCTGCAATCTGAGACTTTAGACCTTTTGTTCTCCTAAATTCTATATTAAAGTGGACCTATCATGCTATATTTGAATAATATAGTGTAGGACCATACCTATATAAGGCATATTTATACTTTTTTTTTTTTTCAAAATACCAAACAGATCATGCATTTTAGCCATGCCTCATTTTGCTCAATTTGACAATTTCTAGCTCTGGGTAGATTCAGTGAGAACAGCACCACCTACAGGCCTGGCATATGTACTACAGCGTCTCCAGCGCTTTCGAACGGCAATGGCCGTGGCTGTCTCCTCCTGATTGGTGGAGTTGGCCTAATAGCCGTAGCGCCACCGTCCTGACGTCAGGACAGTGTTCAAATCTGGATCAGTTTTTATCAGATCCGTTGCAGCCCCTTTTTTAGAGATTTGGGTATGGAGGAAAATAGAGAGGGTTGTGTTTTCTGACACTTGGTGAGTTCCCTGGAACACCGGGGACACATATTCATGTAGAAAAGACGTACACAAGTGCATTTTGCATGATAGGTCCCCTTTAAATGTTGAATATTGTGGTATTTCTTTTTCAGGAAATATGGAAAGATTCTCCAAAATAATGTGAAAACTGTTCAAATAATATGCGGAAAATGTTGTAAAAAACATTGTTTAAAGAAATGTACCAAAAGACTGTATAAAATAAATACATATGTTAAAATGTCAGAAAATATAGAAACAAGTCTGAAATGTAGGTAACTCTGTAATACTCTGTAATACTCTGTAATACTCTGTAATACTCTGTGGTACTCTGTAATACTCTGTAATACTCTGTGGTACTCTGTAATACCCTGTAATACTCTGTAATACTCTGTAATACTCTGTAATACTCTGTGGTACTCTGTAATACTCTGTAATACTCTGTGGTACTCTGTAATACCCTGTAATACTTTGTAATACTCTGTAATACTCTGTAATACTCTGTAATACTCTGTAATACTCTGTAATACTCTGTGGTACTCTGTAATACTCTGTAATACTCTGTAATACTCTGTAATACTCAGTAATACTCTATGGTACTCTGTAATACTCTGTAATACTCTGTAATACTCTGTGGTTCCCTGCAGGCACGGCCCGGTGGGTCTGGTCCACGTTGACGCTCACGCTGACACCAGTGATGTGGTTCTGGGGGAGCGGATCGGACACGGGACCCCCTTCAGACGCTGTGTGGAGGAGGGGCTGCTGGACTGCAGCCGGGTGGTGCAGATCGGCCTGCGGGGGTCCGGTTACTCCGCCGACTCCTATGCCTGTAGCCGTGCTCAGGTACCGGAGATCAATAAGATCTAGTTCTACGTACCTCTGATGCCAGCTACTTCCTGTAACACAGGGTACTGACTAACTGACTGAGGCCCAATTCCAAACCTCACCCTACCCACTCCCCCTTGCAACCCCGTAACTTTTCGTAACAATGGTTTCAAATCAGCATTTCTTGGGTTAAGAATAAAAAAAATGAACACAGAAGGTTTATCACAGGACAAGACACAGCTGGGCAGGGGAGGCAGAAACACAAAGAGACAATCAGACACAGGAGGGCAAACACAGGAAGGAAGACCAGACACAGGGAGAACAGAATTTCAAAATAAAACTGGAAACTAAACACACAAAACGAATATATAAGAATCGTGACAGGGTTAGTGTGTAGGGGGCGGTTTGGAATTGGGCCTGACTGACTGTGTGTGTGTGTGTGTGTGTGTGTAGGGTTTCCGTGTAGTGCAGGTGGAGGAGTGCTGGTTCAAGTCTCTGGCTCCCCTGATGGAGGAGGTCAGGGGTCAGATGGGAGGGGGTCCGGTGTACCTGAGTTTTGATATCGATGCTCTGGACCCCGGCTTCGCTCCGGGCACCGGGACCCCCGAGATCGCCGGGCTCACCCCCATACAGGTAGACTACTGTAACTACTGCTTACTGCGATATTACATCGGTTCTTATTTGACACTTCTATATATACTACCACTTCTACTGGATTTATAGTGGGGGGAAGAAAGGGAGAATTCTGAGATTTTTAGAAAGAAGTCGGAATTTAGAGATTTTACGAAAAAAAGTGAGAATTTCAGAAAAAGGGAAAATTTAGTGATTTTTGGGAAAAGTCTTTATTTTGAGATTTTTTGTAAAAAGTCAACATTTTCAGAGAGATTTTCTGAAAAAAGTGATAATTGTGATTTTCAGAAAGAGCATGTTTCTCCTGTCGGCCAGCATCGTTTTTAGATGATTCTGATTTATTGTTCTGTTTTCAGGGAGTGGAGATAATCCGCGGCTGTCGGGGTTTGAACCTGGTGGGCTGTGACCTGGTGGAGGTGTCTCCCCCCTACGACACCACCGGTACTACACACTCTATTTCATCATTCATATATTGAATTATGTTTAAATCATTATATTTATATATTCCCCCCCCCTCAGGAAACACGGCGCTGACCGGAGCTAACCTCCTGTTCGAGATGCTCTGCGTCCTCCCCAACGTCAAATACCTCTGATTCTAATCAATAACATCAAGTCTTCTTTAAAGATAGAAAGAGGGTAACTCTGCATCAATTACAGATGTTTCATAAATAAACAGTAAGTATTGTTTACAGCCAATGAGAGGACAGATGCTCGACTGAAGATGATTCTAGTCTCATAGTCTTTGAGATGAATTATAATATCATTCTGTGCTTTATGAATGAAATATAAAGATGTAATTAAAATGTAAAAAGTATCTAATGAATGTGCAATATTTAAATAAAACACTATATCAATGGAGTTACAGTTTAATAAATACTAATAATACACTGAGTTTCATGTGTGGGTCACTGCCCTCATCCTTTGACTTCTGTTTCATCATTTCCATTGACTGGGCTCTGGTTTCAGACGGAGGGTGAAAAGAGGAGCTGCAGCTCAGGCAGTATGAGAAACATAATGTGCTGTTACGTCGAGACAACCAATAACATCGAGAGAGTCACCGTGAAGGTGTTTTTATTTACACCAAAACAATAACGCCAACAACTGACAACTTAAAGGCGTTCGTGTGTGTTGGAGGAGGGGCTCTGTAAGGAAGTGGCAGATTGTGTATTTTCAAATCCTAGCGCACTCGAGCCGGTTTCTCCAAAATGACCTACCTCACCTTTAAGTGAATAAATATAACAGAAAGACCAATCTCTAAATCTTCTCTCTGAAACACACCTCAAACAAAAAGCCCCCCCTCACTATCTGGTCTACTAACAAGGAAACAAAACAGATACAGGGGGGGGGGGCTTCAATCTACTAACCTAGTGTGTCTAACACAGTTGACCTAGGATGTAGAGCAGGGGTGGGCAATTATTTTTTCCATGGGGCCACATGAAAAACTGAAAATATTGTGGAGGGCCGGGCCAAAAGGCTGAACTCAATTCTGCATAATATTAATTGTATTTCTTTATAAAAAGCAGTAAATAGCATTGTTTTGACAAGCTGGTAAGAGTATATGTTATAGTTAAGCAATGAAAAAGTGAGGTTGCCTTACAAAAAAATGTCATTTATTAAATCAAATTTCCCAAAACAATGGTAAACAAAATGAACGTTTTTCACCATTTGTGACTCATATTAGTGAACATTTTCAGTCACATTCACTCAAACACATTTTGAGTTTCATTTACTGTTGGAAAGAGGTTCTTAGCATTCTAAAGACATCACAATATTGTCTTTGTACTCCAAATATTAAGCAAGATACATCATATTGAACTGTCACTAAACATCACTGAACTGTGATTTTGAGAAAAAGGCTTCCAAAGAAAGTGTCCCAGTTCACTGCTAGTTGGTGCCTTTACATGCCAACACCTCATTTGGTGTTTTTAAGTTCTCTTTTCTTGTTCAGTGAGAGAAATCTAGTCTCTGCTGGGCTTTAACGAGTGCATCAAAGTCAGGTTGAATGTCTGAGGTGGAGATGCGAAGCACAGCTGACAGATGATCATCAGTGAGAGAGGATCTATACCTGGATTTCGTAAACTTCATCATTGAAAATGTTTGTTCACATATGTAGGTCGAGCCAAAGAGAACCAACATCTTCTGAGCATGTCTCCTCATGTTTGGAAAGTTCTCCTCCTTGAGAGAAGAGTAGAAATCCAGCAGAGATCCTGACTTAAAGTGCTCTGCCAGTACTGCATCAGACTGCAGGTCGATGAGTTTCAGCTGAACATCACTGGGTGCATTATCCACACTGCAGGTAAAGGGAGAGGAAATCAGGTGCATTTCATCCTCGATTTTTCACCATGCAATGCTCCCAACATGGATGAGTACCTGCGGAGGTGATCAGCTGATGGTGTGACTTCTTTCAGGGTTTGCATGTGAGTGAGAGTGTTGCTCTCCAGTTGGCTTGAAAGAAACTGCATCTTTGTCATGAAAGCCTTCACCAGGCTGTGCATTTCATGAACAAAAAGGCCCTTGCCTTGCAGTTTGGTATTCAGTTCATTCATCAGTGCAGTCACATCAACAGCAAATGCAAAATCTGCCATCCAGTCCTCATCTGAGAGCTCTGGGAAGTCTTTGCCTTTCTTCTCACAAAACTCTCGAATCTCTGCTTTCAGGTCCCAAACTCTTTTTAGCACTTTGCCCAGGCTGAGCCATCTGATAGCTGTGTGGTAGCCGATGTCACGATGCTCAGTCTCATGCTCCTCCAAAAGTGCGATAAACTGTCTGTGGTTCAAAGCTCTTGCCCTGATGAAGTTTACTATTTTAGTAACAACATCAATAACATGGTTAATTTTTAGCACTGACTTGCACAACACATGTTGGTGTATAATACAATGCAAAAATACCAGTTTCTGATCCGCGTCGATTTCAGTCACTTTATCTTGCATACGTTTCAAAAGTCCGAATTTTTTTCCGGTAAGATTTGGACAACCGTCCGTTGTGACACCTGCCAGTCTGTCCCATTTCAGTCCCAGCGTGTCCATGCACTCGTTTACCTCCGTGAACAGATCGCTCCCTGTCGTCGTCCCTTTCATCGACCGCATTGCTGCCAGCTCCTCCGTAATCTTGAAGTCTGTGCGGTGAGGTTCATGGCTGGTGAGGCACTGACTCTTTCAGTCAGATTTACAAATATTATAGCCTATTTTGACCTTAATCGAAATATTCTGTTATTTTCAAAAGCTTTTTTAGTCTGATGCTATGATTAATTTTAAACAGACCGATCAACAAAAGGATACCCACAATCTAAATATTGGATTGTTCTTTCTTAGTAAGATCCCATTTTCATTACAGTTGTGGTCTTACCTTGACTTGAAGATGAAGTCCATGCTATCCTTCTGGACAACAATCTCTATTACTGTTTTGTAAAAGTCCTCCTTTTCTTCCTGTAGTTTCAAAAGTTTTGTTTGTTGTTTGCGGTAGAATAACAGTAGCAACAAGAACCTGTGGGCTCACGTGCGCCCCCTTCAGTGCGGCAGAGGTTATGGCTGCCTCCCCATGTAATTGTTTCATTGCCGTTGTATGATAAGACCAGCGAGCCTAAATATCATATATACGTGAAATAAGTTATTTAGAGACTATGGATGGTGAGGATAAATGTAATAAAGGGATCTACAAACATTACATTGGTGACCTACAGTGAGATGGGAACAGGCATGCGCTTAGGGCCCGCTTTCCAGCCAGTTTCTGTGGGGTGACGCATTCTGAGGTGAGGCAGATCTCATCTGTGCCTCACCTCACCCCACAGTAAATGGCTTGAGCGCGCTCACAAAATAAGTGGCCCCGCTAAATTAGTACCCGTGCTCCAGCAAGTTACTGTGGGCTTACGTGAGGCAGTGCTCGTGCTTGCCTCACTTCTCATCGCTCCCGTAGCGGAGCTCGGCAAATTTGCTGATTTTGACTATAAAAAGCGATTGGAATCAAACAGAAATCACATTTACACAGATCAGTGGAGACATTTTATTATTATTATTATTTAGTTTTTCTTTAATTGTTTTTCCGTTACATTGGAGTATGACAGGTGAGGCTCTGCCTCCCCTGCCTCCACTGACTGCACGTCGCTGAAGTCTGGTGTTATCCCGCGGACGAATACGTGTAACTGGGCTGTGTCGCGGACATCACAGCTCTCGTCCAAAGCCAAGGAGAAAAAGTCGAAACTTGCCACTTCACGTTGCAGCTGAAGCTCCAGATTCCCCGCAATGTCCTCGATCCTTCTAGTCACGGTTCGCCTGGACAGCGGGACTTGCTCAAATGCGGCTTTTTTTTCAGGGCATATTAGTGCTGCAGAGTCCACCAAGCACTCTTTGACAAACTCCCCCTCCGAGAATGGCTTACTGTTTTTAGCGATTTTGTGGGATATCACAAAGCTGGTCTTGGTTGCTGCATCACTGGATGTGTGAAGCTTGGTAAAAAAGCCTTGCTGCTTTTGCAGCTTAGCTAGCAAAGCTTCCGATGTCCGCGCCCTTTCAGCGTCAGTCAAGTTTTTATATTTCTCCGCGTGTTTCGTCTCGTAATGCCGACTCACATTGTACTCCGTAAAACACGGCGATCTGCTCCCCGCAAACTAAACACACGGCTTTACCTCCGACTTCAGTAAATAAATACTTAGCAGTCCAATTTTTGTTGAAAACCCTGCATTCAGCATCTACCTTTCTTTTTTTAGCGGACATTTTGAGGGCTAAAGTCGTCTTGTGACAAGGATCCAATCATGTGCACGTCTTGATATACGTATTGCGTCATTATGCACGTGAATAAAAAACAACTTCAAAATAAAAGCAATGCAGCTTTAGTCCATGCATGAGGTAAAGTTAGAAAATATGTTTATTTTGTAATTTCCAATTAGCCTTACACGGGCCGGTCAGAGTCAACCAAAGGGCCGTATGTGGCCCGGGGCCGTACAATGCCCAGGTCTGATGTAGAGGGTACCCCAAACCTACCCTACCTTCTCCTCTCAGATGTGTGCTTCCTGCAAGTCTCTGGTTTCCTCTCCCCCCCACTAATCACAAAGTCCAGTCTGATGCTCCCCATGATCTTTAGTGTCTATTTAAATAACCATGTTCTATTCTGAGTCTCGTCAGGACCGCCTCATCTCGACTCCTTCCTGGATGAATATCGTCTCCTCCCTCTTGTCTCCCGGTCCCATATCTGCTGCCATGTTTGAATGATTCCCCTGTAATACTCGTTCCCTCAGACCTCGATCATGTGATCATGTCTATACTTTCCTTTCCAAAGGCCCTGACACACCAGGCCGTATTCGGCCGTCTTCGGTTGTCTGGCGACAACGCGTTCCTTGTCGCCCAAAGTCAATTTGGTGTGTCCCGAACCCTCGGCCGTGACACGCCTTATTTGGCCTTTCACGGTCGACACACGGCCGATTCAACATGTTGAATCGGCCGTGTGTCGGACACAAGCTATCGGGCCAAGAAAGCACTCTGATCAGCTGTTCAGCTAGCAAATAAGAAGCGAAACGGAAGTGAGGGACGTAAACAAAGGATTGAAGAAGGCACAGGACAGCAGCTAAACCCCAGCAGGTGATACTTAAAGACATCAAACATAGCCCTTAAATGTCCTCTCTTACCTCCCACACATAGCAGGGACATCTCTGATATCGGCCGGAGCGTCCCCGGCTGTCCTCTGCTGAGAGCTCCGTGATTTGTTTGGTCAAGTTGCAGGATTAGTCTCAAGTACCTCAACATTGTCCTTAAGTACAGTGTCTAAGTAAATGAGATCTACTGCTGTTCATTTACCTATTGTGAGTCGCCTCGGATAAAAGCATCACATGGAAATGTACATTTAGCAAGAAGTGGCCATTATGACATTACATACATTACTACATTGCTGACTCAATAAACGACACACCCTCCAGAACACTGCGATCATCAGCTGCAGGTCTATTAACTGTGATGTGATAGTCTGCACTTTATGTGCTCATTTCATCATTCATGTATTTTTATATTCTAAAACATGTTTTCGATGGACGAGAGTGAAAATGGAACGCACACGCTATTTGTTTGTTTATATCAGTCTGTTCTTCTTCTCTGTCTTCCGGTTGTTGCCTCTTTTGAATGACGAATACACACTACCGCCGCCTGCTGGTAAGGAGAGTTATTGCCACTCACGCATGCGCAGTTCGTACGTGCTCGGCTGAAGTCTTTGTGTTGTGTTCCAGTGCGACACACGGCCAAGACGCAGGAGAACTCGTCGATGCAACTGTCGATGTCGGTGTCGGCGAGTTCTCTGGTGACTGCTTGGTGTGTCAGGGCCTTTACAGCCTGTTTTGCTAATCTGTCTACTTCCATTTCCCACAATTCCCATGTGGGCAGGAACCCAAATAAATGTCCCCACAGCGCCTCGCTTGTTGTCTGTGTGTGTTGTGTAATGATACAGAGTTTATCTAGAGGGGAGTGGAGCTCCTCCTTCATGACTGGCTCTGGCTGCTGATAGGCCAGCTGAGGGTGAGGGGACCAATCAGCCGTCAGTCTGAGGTGCTCAGGCAGGTTCTGATCAGAGGGGGAGGAGAGAAGAGCAGGAGGAGGGAAACACAACTTAAGGCCCTGACACACCAAGCAGTCACCAGAGAACTCGCCGACGCCGACTGTTCCATCGACGAGTTCTCCTACGTCTTGGCCATGTGTCGCACTGGAACACACCACAAAGACTTCAGCCGAGCACGTACGAACTGCGCATGCGTGAGTGGCAATAACTGTCCTTACCAGCAGGCGGCGGTAGTGTGTATTCGTCATTCAAAAGAGGCAACAACCGGAAGACAGAGAAGAAGAACAGACTGATATAAACAAACAAATAGCGTGTGCGTTCCATTTTCACTCTCGTCCATCGAAAACATGTTTTAGAATATAAAAATACATGAATGATGAAATGAGCACATAAAGTGCAGACATACTATAACATCACAGTTAATAGACCTGCAGCCCGTCTGACTCGTTTTGAAGTGCTTCCTGTTTGCTGTTAAGTTTCACTTCGTGCTCGTCGTGTCGCACCTTCTGCTTCTCTCTAAGGTTTGTAACTCTTTGTGACTTTAGAGCTTTTAGAGACAACTCTTATCAATCATTGCTCAGAGAATAAGAACAACTCTTTGTGACTTTAGTTACTTCAGACTTTAGAGTAAATTCAGAGACAGACTTTAACCCTCTTCCTGTTTTTACCTCAGCTGAACCTGTACACAATAACTATAATTATTATTATTATTATTATCAATCATTACTCAGATAATAACTCCACACAGAGACCCTCTATTTCATCTGATGGCTTGCTGTCCATACTAGTGTGTGTGTGTGTGTGTGTGTGTGTGTGTGTGTGTGTGTGTGTGTGTGTGTGTGTGTGTGTGTGTGTGTGTGTGTGTGTGTGTGTGTGTGTGTGTGTGTGTGTGTGTGTGTGTGTGTGCATGTGTGTGCGTGTGGGTTTGTGTGTGTGTGTCGCCATATTCACTGAGCTGTGATTGGTTGTTCCTCGTCACATGACCAGCAAAGTATTTAAAGAAAAATTGTCAAATCAAAAATACAAGTGGAAACAAAAGAGGAATAAATGAATTATTTAAATAAATGTTGAATTATGATTATTATGTCCTTCTACCGAGGCGCCACCGAGAGCATCCTCAGCAGCTGCATCACGCTGTGGTTCGGAAGCTGCACCGCCGCCGACCGCAAGAGCCTGCAGCGCATAGTGAACTCTGCCCAGAGGATCATCGGTGCCTCACTCCCCTCACTACAGGACATATACAACACCCGCCTCACTCCCCTCACTCCAGGACATATACAACACCCGCCTCACTACAGGACATATACAACACCCGCCTCACTCCCCTCACTCCAGGACATATACAACACCCGCCTCACTCCCCTCACTCCAGGACATATACAACACCCGCCTCACTCCCCTCACTCCAGGACATATACAACACCCGCCTCACTACAGGACATATATAACACCCGCCTCACCCGCAAAGCACTCAGCATTGTGGGTGACTCCACCCACCCCTCCAACAGCCGCCTCACCCGCAAAGCACTCAGCATTGAGGGTGACTCCACCCACCCCTCCAACACCCGCCTCACCCGCAAAGCACTCAGCATTGAGGGTGACTCCACCCACCCCTCCAACACCCGCCTCACCCGCAAAGCACTCAGCATTGAGGGTGACTCCACCCACCCCTCCAACAGCCGCCTCACCCGCAAAGCACTCAGCATTGTGGGTGACTCCACCCACCCCTCCAACAGCCTCTTCAGCCTCCTGCCTTCAGGAAGAAGGTTCCTCAGCCTCAGCTCGCGCACCTCCAGGCTGAGGAACAGCTTCCTCCACCAGGCGGTCAGGATGCTGAACTCTCTCCCCTCCCTCCATCTCTTCCCCTCTCTGATATCTCTCCCCTGAACTCTCTCCCCTCTCTCCATCTCTTCCCCTCTCTGACATCTCTCCCCTGAACTCTCCACCCTGCCTCCATCTCCTCCCCTCTCTGACATCTCTCCCCTGAACTCTCCACCCTGCCTCCATCTCCTCCCCTCTCTGACATCTCTCCCCTGAACTCTCCATCCTGCCTCCCACCTTTCTCCCCTGCCCCAAATGGTCCTGGACTCTAACCCCCTAACTCACTTTTCTGCCCATCTCCGCTGCTACTGCACTGAAACTGTACTTTGAACACTTAAATTATATTATTAACATTTTAAACTGTATACCCCGGTTATCTAGGCCCTTTGTTTTGTTTAATGTATACCATGTTTATCTAGGCCCTTTTTGTTTTTTGTTTGATGTATACATGTCACACTGTAGGACTGAGGGAAACGATATTTCGATATTTCTGGATGTACAACATGTAGAATTATTGACAATAAATCTGACTTTGACTTTGAATAATTTAAAAATACAAATCAATGTTTAAATACTAAAATTAGAAAATAAATAAATAATATATGTGGAAATGTAAACATTAGTAATTAAAGAAAACAATAATGTGAAAATACATACAGGAATAAATGAAGAGAAAGTTCCTCCCTCTGCCACCAGAGGGCGACACATCCCCTCGTTTTGAAGTGCTTCCTGTTTGCTGTTAAGTTTCACTTCGTGCTCCTCGTGTCGCACCTTCTGCTTCTCTCTAAAGGTTTGTAACTCTTTGTGACTTTAGAGCTTTTAGAGACAACTCTTATCAATCATTGCTCAGAGAATAAGAACAACTCTTTGTGACTTTAGTTACTTCAGACTTTAGAGTAAATTCAGAGACAGACTTTAACCCTCTTCCTGTTTTTACCTCAGCTGAACCTGTACACAATAACTATAATTATTATTATTATTATTATCAATCATTACTCAGATAATAACTCCACACAGAGACCCTCTATTTCATCTGATGGCTTGCTGTCCATACTACTGTGTGTGTGTGTGTGTGTGTGTGTGTGTGTGTGTGTGTGTGTGTGTGTGTGTGTGTGTGTGTGTGTGTGTGTGTGTGTGTGTGTGTGTGTGTGAGTGTGGGTTTGTGTGTGTGTGTGTGTGTGTGTGTGTGTGTGTGTGTGTGTGTGTGTGTGTGTGTGTGTGTGTGTGTGTGTGTGTGTGTGTGTGTGTGTGTGTGTGTGTGTGTGTGTGTGTGGGTTTGTGTGTGTTTGTGTGTGTGTGTGTGTCGCCATATTCACTGAGCTGTGATTGGTTGTTCCTCGTCACATGACCAGCAAAGTATTTAAAGAAAAATGGTCAAATCAAAAATACAAGTGGAAACAAAAGAGGAATAAATGAATTATTTAAATAAATGTTGAATTATGAAGAGGAATAAATAAAAGAACGAAAAAACATAATTTGATTAATTTGTTAGAATGCTAAATATTAGGTGGAATCATTTAAAAATACAAATCAATGTTTAAATACTAAAATTAGAAAATAAATAAATAATATATGTGGAAATGTAAACATTAGTAATTAAAGAAAACAATAATGTGAAAATTAGGGCTGTCAGTCGATTAAAATAGTTAATCGCGATTAATCGCAAATTAATCGCACATTTTTTATCTGTTCTAAATGTACCTTAGAGGGATATCTTTCAAGTTTTTAATACTCTTATCAACATATGAGTGGACAAATATGCTTTATATGTTTGTTTATTATCATTTGAACAATGACAAATATTCTCATGAATATTAAACACAACAACCTGAACATTACAAATATTCGCCTCAATTCAACCTGGAACCTCTCTCATACAATAATACTGTGTGTGTGTGTGTGTGTGTGTGTGTGTGTGTGTGTGTGTGTGTGTGTGTGTGTGTGTGTGTGTGTGTGTGTGTGGTGTGTGTGTGTGTGTGTGTGTGTGTGTGTGTGTGTGTGTGTGTGTGTGTGTGTGTGTGTGTGTGTGTGTGTGTGTGTGTGTGTGTGTGTGTGTGTGTGTGTGTGTGTGTGTGTGTGTGTGTGTGTGTGTGTGTGTGTGTGTGTGTGTGCGCGTGCGTGCTGGAGCTATGTGCAGCTCAAGGCATATATGCTCCAACGGGAGCTGCCTGGATGCTGCAATCATGTTGCGTGTGCTGACTTTTCGTACAATGTCCCACTGTCTGGCTACCTGCATAAAGTCAAGTGCTCGGCGCAGTTGTCGGCGAAATGTCCTTGAAACAGCTCCTTATATCCGTTAGCGCAGCTAGCTAGCACCAGATGCTAACAACAACAACACGAAAGGTGTGCCTCGCTCGAGTCGCGCCACAAATACACACTCCCTCCCGGTCCTCCCGATGGCTAGTCCGGGCCTGCCGGTGAGCGTGGAAGTGTGGTCTGCCACAAGCGGGCGGCAGGAGCGGGGCTGTCAGCATCAGCTTGTCGATGGTATTTTAAACTCGATGCGCTCTGAAACTACGGGGCGGCCGAGGACAAAAAATACACATGCGTTAATCGCGTTAAAATAATTAGTGGCGTTAATTTTTTTTTTGCGTTAACGCGTTATTAACGCGTTAACTTGACAGCCCTAGTGAAAATACATACAGGAATAAATGAAGAGAAAGTTCCTCCCTCTGCCACCAGAGGGCGACACATCCCCTCGTTTTGAAGTGCTTCCTGTTTGCTGTTAAGTTTCACTTCGTGCTCGTCGTGTCCAAGCCCCCAGGAAGTGCGCCGGACTCAGATGAAAATGTTCGTGCTGGCCAAACGGCGGTACTACACTTCCTTTTGGTTGCCAGGCCCGGAAACACTTTTTCCCATTGACTTACATGGGGAAAGAGTGGTCTGTAAATCGTTGGATAATTTTTTTTAAACTAAATAAACTACCCAGTATGAACACTTGTATAGCCCGTATTAAAAACATTCGTTCCTCAAGTTGTAAAAATGTGCTAATAACGTTATTCTGTGAGTTATTTCCCTCTGCATTATGAACGCGCATCTAACCCACGGGACCGCGCCGCCCGGCACGTTCATGTTACGTGTTCAGCACTACATGCGTTTATCTTTACCCATGGATGTACAATAAGAACGGACCCATATCGCCTTACTGCCAGCCCACGGAGCTGTAATAATGGATATATTGCACATGTTTGCTGTCATTCATCATTTGTAAAATATTATACTACATGGGCTGTATGATTAAATCTTGTACCGTAAATGTTGTATTAAATATAGTTAATATTACCGACGTAGATTAACGTCCCTGTAGCTTCTTATTGCACTAAGAAGCTTATTGCACTGTATATATATAAATATATATATATATATATATATATATACAGTGCAATAATTCTTTCATGCTAAATGAAGCTCTGTTGCTTGGATATCACTAGATCCTGTTACAGCGTAATATAAAAGTACATAACGATTGATGTGTAAATTAGCATAATTACTAGCTAACCGCTAGGTGCTAACTGCCGCCTCGTTAATATCAAATCTATCATAATAACAAACCATTACCATGCTGTCATGAACGTGCGGTGCTGTTACGTGTACGCAAATTGACGTGCTTGATGTGAACGAGCATTTTGGGGGGTGTGGTTAAAGTTGCGCATGCGCTATGAGCGCACATACGGGTACTTCTCAGGCATGCCGGGTAATCTGTGACGTTTCGCTCTCTCAAAAGTTGGGCCATTTAATCATCATGCGCGAATGAGCAACTCTCATAGGAATGAATGAGGCCCCGCCTCCCACGCTGTATCCAGTTCTTATTATACATCCATGATGAGGCCCCGCCTCCCACGCTGTATCCAGTTCTTATTATACATCCATGATGAGGCCCCGCCTCCCACGCTGTATCCAGTTCTTATTATACATCCATGATGAGGCCCCGCCTCCCACGCTGTATCCAGTTCTTATTATACATCCATGATGAGGCCCCGCCTCCCACGCTGTATCCAGTTCTTATTATACATCCATGGTGAGGCCCCGCCTCCCACGCTGTATCCAGTTCTTATTATACATCCATGATGAGGCCCCGCCTCCCACGCTGTATCCAGTTCTTATTATACATCCATGATGAGGCCCCGCCTCCCACGCTGTATCCAGTTCTTATTATACATCCATGATGAGGCCCCGCCTCCCACGCTGTATCCAGTTCTTATTATACATCCATGATGAGGCCCCCGCCTCCCACGCTGTATCCAGTTCTTATTATACATCCATGATGAGGCCCCGCCTCCCACGCTGTATCCAGTTCTTATTATACATCCATGATGAGGCCCCGCCTCCCACGCTGTATCCAGTTCTTATTATACATCCATGGTCGTGTCGCACCTTCTTCTTCTCTCTAAGGTTTGTAACTCTTTGTGACTTTAGAGCTTTTAGAGACAACTCTTATCAATCATTGCTCAGAGAATAAGAACAACTCTTTGTGACTTTAGTTACTTCAGACTTTAGAGTAAATTCAGAGACAGACTTTAACCCTCTTCCTGTTTTTACCTCAGCTGAACTTGTACACAATAACTATAATTATTATTATTATTATTATCAATCATTACTCAGATAATAACTCCACACAGAGACCCTCTATTTCATCTGATGACTTGCTGTCCATACTACTGTGTGTGTGTGTGTGTGTGTGTGTGTGTGGTGTGTGTGTGTGTGTGTGTGTGTGTGTGTGTGTTGTGTGTGTGTGTGGTGTGTGTGTGTGTGTGTGTGTGTGTGTGTGTGTGTGTGTGTGTGTGTGTGTGTGTGTGTGTGTGTGTGTGTGTGTGTGTGTGTGTGTGTGTGTGTGTGTGTGTGTGTGTGTGTGTGTGTGTGTGTGTGTGTGTGTGTGTGTGTGTGCGCCTGCCTGTGTTGGCCCTCACCCAGTTTGATCATCCAGTCAAAGGGTGTGTTTGTCACCACAGTTTTTACATTTTGATTCACAAGATCAACGGTTGTTGTTTGCCTCACCTAACACAAAATGAAGTTTGACTGAATGAAACACATCAGTTTAAAGGAACACATATTTGCTAAAACATGTAAGACGCTGCTTTGAAAGTGTCTACTGGTTATTTATGGTTCATATTTGGCCGTTTTTGGTCATTTCTCCCCACGCTGAAACCTTCATTGTCCTCCACAGAGCGAAGCAGAAAGTTACAGGAAGTGTAACCTGGTACGAGTTCCTCTCCAATGCGTAAGTACCGTCCTCATCACTGTTCACTTATCACCAAAGCTGGGGACATTTAGGTAATATATTTCACATCATAACATGCTCCATAATTGGTTGCTATGTGTCTTGTGTATTTGTATAGAGCTTTTCATTGGTTTTCTATGACAGGGAATGGTAACATAGTCAACAGATTTAAGGGGACATACAGTATCTAAAGATAACAACTCATTTTAAAGAAAATAATGTGTTTTTTGAACATTTTAGTTAATATTCTAGTAGAAAGATTTGAATGATATGTGTCCTTTAGGTTTCAGTTCAGTACACGCTGCTCTTGGTTCTGCAATGCTGTGGTTTCTGTTCATGAAACAAGTCAAATAACATTTCTAATTACTGCAACTATTACTTTTAATCAAAATCACCCATTTCTGCTGTGACCTGTTGCTGTCTTGTTGCTTTTCAATATATATATGTTTTTGATTTTTTTGTTGTTGCAAGTAATGTCCTGTATTGTGAGCTTTTAATTATTTTTATTTTATTCATATTCTTCAAATATGATCATATTGTATTTCCTGAAACATCTGCATAGACTATGGATGAAAAATATCCTTATGGCACATCTAAATATATTTTGAATGTGCACTCTCCCTAAGTAATAAGTAATCTAATCAAAATAAATCTAATCAAAATAAATAAAAAATGTACTAATTTCCTGTTTGTTGATTTCACTGAAAAAACATTCATGACATATCTTGATTACATCTTTTAAAGGTCCCATGTCATGCTTTTCCCTTGTGTGTTATGTAGCTTTTTCTGCATGTAAACGGTCTGCAGAGTCACAAACCCTAAAGTACACCCTGTAGCGAGTAAAACTCTAACACAGAAAAGACCTGTCTGCTGCCCCAGAACGCCTCGTTGGAGATTTCTCTTTTTCCATTGTTTACTTCTTGGGTATAGTGACGTATTTCGGGTATAGTGACGTAACGTAACGTAACGGCTCCAAAAATGGACCAATCTGCGGAGCCGTTACGTTACGTCCGCGGAGCTGTTACGTTTGGACCAATCCGCGGACTTCCTCACACACACACACACACACACTCGGCGGCTCACTGGTGTGGGGTCAGCGAGACAACGCGGAACTCAGCCTGGGCACACACACAAACTCCCAGCCAGGCTGCGGGTGTGTGCCCAGGCTGAGTTCCGCGCTGTCTCGCAGACGGCCACTGGGCTCACAGGGGGGGGGGGGGGGGGGGGGGGAGCTCCAACAAGCCGTTTAGGACAGAGAGTGAATACACATACTATACAGAGATGCTGTATTGCTATTGAGATTAGATTTTTCCCCAAGAACTCGTCATCCAGTCCAGCTTGTTTTAAGCTTTTCCTCAAACTTCTGTACAGCGAGTTAGCATCCGTACCTTCTGAAAGCTCAACAATATCCAAGAAAACATTGTCCACTTCCCCTTTTCCTGTCATGTCACATCGGACGTAAATAATCATGTAGGCCCGCCCATGAACTGTGCTCATCTATTGTGATGCTAATTAGTGAGCCCATGTCTTTTACGTTGGAAACAAATGTAGCTCTCATTTCCTCTGCGATATGCCTGATTATTTCAGCACAAGCATGGTCCGATTTGTGCACAGTCCCTACAGTAGCACCATTGAGTTTTTGTAGGAACCAGTGGCGTCGCCTGGCCTGGGCATCCGGGGCTTTAGCCCCGAATGTTTTTTCTGTAGCCCCGGACAATTCTCCCTCAATAATATAATACATTAACCGTGCTTTACGTGAACCTCATCATGACACAAGAGAGGACGGCAGCACTGTCATTTCCCGTGTTCAGTGAATGCAACAGAGGCATGACACCAGACCAATCAGAGAGTTGCATGGAAATAAACATGTGCTTGTGTCATTCCAGCTCGGCTCTGTGTGTGTGTGTGGCAATAGCGCATTAGTGTGATAGAGAGAGAGAGAGAGGGGGAGAGAGGGAGAGAGAGAGAGAGGGGGAGGGAGGGACCGGTGTCAGCATGGACCGTGTTGTTAGCATCTGGTTAGCTAGCTGCACTAACGGACATAAGGAGCTGTTTGTTCCACAAGAAGCTGGAGGAGAGTCCTCTCCTCTCAGACTGAGAGACTCAGGTGAGCTAAAGGACTCTCTGAGTGTTTTAGATACTTAACTTTAGTCTAAGTTATCTCAGTGGGTCTCAAACGGTTTGGTCACAAATTATTCAAAAGATTATTTCCGCGGCACACCTTCATATGATCATTATAGTTATTAAAAAAAAGAGAATAAAGGAAAAACAGTTATGAAATACTATATGGCAGTAAAACAAGAATAGAGTTTCAAAGGGGAGTGATTAGTAAAATATCCATAAAGAAAAGGTACATCTGTTTACAGTTCTGCTTCATATGGGTGTTGAGAGAGGTATCCATAGATCTCTTCATTTTGTGTGTGTGTGCGTGTGGGGAGTGTTGCAGTAAAAAATGCCACTGTAGTGCCGCCGCCACTGTGGGCTAAGCCCCGAATGTTTTCAGGTCCAGGCGACGCCCCTGGGTGAGGTGTTTGTAACATGTAGGAACATTACAGCAGGTAGCTTTCTGTATGACATTTCTTCTTTGGCAATCATATAGGCAGATCTGAACGATGTGTGTTTCCTGCATTAGATCAGCATTGATTGCCAATACCTTGTTTGGTAGGACATCTTTCTCATCTCCGAAATCTCGATCTCTTTTTCGTGTGCCTGGCTCTTATGGTGCTTATAGATCTTTTTTCGCAGGTTATTTAGTTGATCACAGCTGACTTTTCCCTGAATGCATTCTGGTGAAAGGTGCACTCCGGTGGATTTTTCTGCAAGCGGCAAGGAGATCAATATAGTTTTTGCCTCTTTGCAAATCTCACATCCACATTTTTTATTTCCTATGAAAAGCCATGGATACTTTTCTTTCCACTCACTCCATCTTTTCAGTGTCCAGTTAAAAGGCAGGCCATCATGGGCATCGCCAGCGTCAGGTTCGCTAGTGCAGGTGGAACCGGAGGCTGTCGCCGTTGTTGAAGCCTCTTCTGAAGCCTCTTCTGAAGCCTCTTCTGAAGCCTCTTCTGAAGCCTCTTCTGAAGCCTCTTCTGAAGCCTCTTCTGGAGCCTCTTCTGAAGCCTCTTCTGAAGCCTCTTCTGAAGCCTCTGCTGAAGCCTCTTCTGAAGCCTCTTCTGAAGCCTCTTCTGAAGCCTCTTCTGAAGCCTCTTCTGAAGCCTCTTCTGGAGCCTCTTCTGAAGCCTCTTCTGAAGCCTCTTCTGAAGCCTCTTCTGAAGCCTCTTCTGGCTCTGCATCGGCAGGCCTTTCCCTCGGTGTGGAGCTGTCACAATCGACCCTAACGCCGCTTACAGCTGGCGAACTAAAAGTTGTTTGGTTGACATTTTCATTTTTAGACTCCTTTGCTTCTTTACTTGTGAAACCAAAAGCTGCAACGCTTGGCTGTTTTCGTTTCGCCATTTTCTTTATTACAAAGCCAATTTGTTGTTGTTAAACAATATCAATATGAACATTTCAAATACCGCGCCGGCGCCACCATAACCATAGCAACGTAAGTAGCGTAAAGAATGCAGCACCGCCACGTACAGATGGCAACACACAGAAATATTCACAAATGTAAAACGAATATTCAGAAACTGTAATGAACAATGACTTTAATTTATTTCAAGAACTTTTATTTACAGAAACTCAACATTTCTAATCTGTGTGACACAAATATGCACGATTTCTTTGGGCTCCCCCTATTTATCTCAAAGTCGGCCTTCGGGGGAGCTCCCCCCCATTTCGAACACTGAATGTGTCCCTGGACCAAGTTTGTCGGCCATGCAAGACTTCTTGAATTTTTTAATTGTCCAATTCACTCAATTTTCACACCAATACATCATAGGGTGGCCAAGATAGCACAGTCCAGGTGTCACCTTCCTGTCTCAATGCATTGTTGAGATACAGTACTCTAAACTTCAAATACCCGAGACAATGCAGTTATGTATTTGAAATGTACAGGCTCATATCTCCCAAATGCCAAGGGATACATGCACGTGACTTTAGGTAAGTCACGGGTGAGGCACCCTCTCTCAATGCACCGACTTTCATCCAAATCAGGGTAACTTCAATGTTGAGCTACTGTCTTCTGTCTCCTTGCAGAGTAACACCAAAGCATAATGTTTCCACCTCCATGCTTGACGTGGGGATGGTGTTCTAGGGGTTATAGTCAGCATCTCTTCCTCCATACACGGCGTCTCCAGTTGATGCCAAAGATGGCGATTCTGGTCTCATCTGACCACATCACCTTCTCCCAAGCCTTCTCTGAATCATTCAGATGTTCATTGTCAAACTTCAGACGGCCATTCATGTTCCTTCTTGAGCAGGAGACCTTTAGGCGCTGCAGGATTTGATCCATTATGGTGCGGTGTGTTACCAATAGTTTTCTTGGTGACTGTGGACCCAGCTGCCTTGAGATCAT